TTAGTCATAACTAACTTAGCCTCATGATCATCCTCACTTGACTCAGCCACGTTACACAGGACTTCAGAGGAAGAGCCACATATAGCAGTGACACAAGTCAGGAGGAGTCCAGAAGCATTGTGCTTTTCCCAAATCCAATGTGTTTTATATTCATATTCTTATAAATCTTGACTTAAGTAATCCTGGAAGGATGTCTGAGTGGGTGTCGTCACTGGTCCTGGAGAGAGTCCAACACTCCACAGTTATCTGGAATGGAGAATGCACTCAACAGTAATAAGGAAATGAGACGGCCACCTGCGGGAATAAATGACCTGCTCTCTGGCATGTAGGCCAACACGCAGCAGTGAACTCAGGGGAAGCATCTTCTTTCTATCCCTTTGAGATAGATTCAACACCTCAACAAAGTCTCTCAAAAACACACTTAGAAGTTGAGAGATGGAGAATATGACCCGCCAGTGACATACTGCTGCACTGAATTACACGTGAGTCCACTGAAAATTATCTCAACTGCAGTCTTTCGAAAGCACCTTAAAAATGTTCATGTCACAAAAACTCAGACTTTCCTTCCCTTCTCGTCGATTGCCCTGGTCCAGCCATTACGCCACATGTAATCCATCCATTCCTCTATCCGATTCACTCTCTGCTCACAGACTTTGTCCACCCTCTCCCTTTCTCTTCCCAAGCTCTTTTCCCTCCCTCTTTTTACATTCCCATACACGGCACCAAAGAAAATAAATAAAAAATGTAATTACAACACAGCTAAACCTATATGGGAAAAGCAAGCCTCTCATTCTGTGGTAGAGGGAGGGTGAAATGCTTGCTGCCATCAAACCTCAAAATTGCAGCATGACAAACCAGTGCTCATAGCTTGCTCTGTGCAACAGTGGGATCACTCATCAGCGATGTGGGCAGACCGAGTTATCCCGGGGAACCCTTTTGTAATCAAGACTACTTTAGCTCTTGCTCAGAGTTTTTTTGACCCAGGCACGCAGAGCTCGGCATTTACGGACATTAGGAAAAAGAAGCTATTTTAAGTCTAAAGCAACGAGCTAACCGCTTAGCAAACGAGGGCCATCAAAGTTTCACACACACACTTTAGTTTTAGCTCTTGTAATGCCTGACAGTAAACAGTGCAGCTAAGACCCTTTCAAAGGGTGAACCACAGATGCGCACTGCCACACTATGCAGCGAGGGGGGTGCAGGGAGTCTAAAATAAGGAACTGATGGATCAGTTCTGCCGCTGCGGCTGGCTACTACCATTGACTGTCCAGTAACATAAGAGTCCGCAAGCTAATTTTAAAACACTGCACTGCTGCTCTCACGACTTTCTTACCAACACTGGTGTGCCAAAATGTGTCGTGTCACAACCCCAGTCTGCACGAGGGAAATTTTTGCAACCGTGAAAATTCTCAATGATCTTTTTCTAAGCAGCTTTTCTGGTGTATTTAAATGTGTGTTTTGAGCTGTAAAGTGTACATAGCATCCAAGCCTAATGCGAGTGGGAGAAAAAAAATAACTGTTCTTCTTTTTACTTCATTTTTATTTATTTTTTATTAAATTAATTTTATTAAATTATAAAATTTTTATTTAATTCACAAATGACTACGTGCATCTTTGAAATAAATACCACTCACGGGATAGAAATATAGTCTTGTAGTTCATCTTTAAAAAAAAAACACAAGGCAAAAAGAGCAATACAGCACATCTTAGTCGTGATCACCTGATATTATAATAAAAATGTTTTTTTTTAAAAAAGACATCTCTCAGTATTTTGTATATCATTAACAGGCTAATGTTAGCAGACTGAAATGAATAAATTAAGCACTGACAAACAAGCCCAGCTAGCCAACACACACACACACACAAACACACACAACCACACACACACCCCCACCACAAAAACATGTTACAAAATTTTGCACTAACGCTGGCCAAGTGACTACAATAACTCAACCCAGAGCTGGTATGGTGTTTTAGAAAGCAGTGGCTAAAGAACAGATGCTGTTCTCTGCTGCTGAAGAAGTAGTAATGTTAATGCATTAATGTAGCAAACTTACCTAAAAACAAAAACAAATACTAAAAGATATCGAAAAGCTGCACTGTCTCTCACCTTTGATTGTACTGTCACTGAGACAGTGCATGAAAACTAGTTATTATTATGACTGCTATTATTAGAAAAAAACACAGGTGAAAAGAGCAGTGGAACTCTGAGGTTTGAGCAAAATAACAATCTTTAAAGTGTACAAAGGGCACATATCCTGGCAACGGGGAGCAGTTAGAACAGATTTTTATTGACCCGTGCAGTTTTAGAATGGTTTGTGTGAATGAAGGCTTCATACACATGTAGACAAAACAAGAACGGAAATACAAATTGAACGAAGGAAAACTCATCCCAGGTGATGTGTCTCTGTTTTTATGCGGAAGATCTTCCTGAAAAGTGGATTCTGGGTTGGTTCTTCAAAGTGACGCTAAATGGGTTTTCTTTCTTAAAATTTTGTATCGCCTTCATTTCAAAAATTAGGCCATCTTGGCAACAATAAATGCCATTTCAGGACTGCTGCGCTAAATGTTTCACATCTTAATTTAACTGCAACAGTGGAATCATTCTAAGTGGGTCATTTAAAGTATGACATCCAACAAGTAAACATACGGTACCTACATAAAACGCTGCGGGATTAGAAAGTGTCTGAGCAGAGTCTGCAAGTCACAGTGCAGCACTCTCAAAACCAGCCAGAAATAATTCCCGTCAACAATGCATCGTTCACCAGTGATAAGCAGTGGATGAGAAGTATTTTTAACTTTTGATCAATGTCAGCACCCCACAACTATTTATACTACTAATCATGAGCTCATTTAGCAACACTCGGAAAACTTAAATTGCTTAATGCACTGAAAGACAGGAAAAAGAGAAGAAGAAAAAAAAAGATGCCTTGGAGCTATTAATATGTGCTGACACTGCACACCAACCTAGTCATTCAGCTCACATCATGTACTATTATTAAGGCAGGCTACCTGACAGCATCTTCAAGTTTTAGCTTACACCAAAATGTGATCACACAGACTCAAAGCTTTTAAGCCTTCTGAGAAAAGCATTAAGAAACAGCTTCGGCTGTCTGGCTGCTGTTACGTTTTTTGGGGGACAAACACCGCAACACACTGAATCCGTTTATGGATTTCAGTTTTGGGCTGCTTGAGTGATGAAGTCATGTCGGTGAGTACGCAGCGAATAGGATTCAGCGCAAGAAGCATCCATCTGATTTCATCAGAGGTGACACGCCTGGGCTCCACCGCACAAGAGGTTCGCTTTTGCTTCCCGCGGGAAGGGCAAATTAGTGACTGGGTGACACCATCCCCGGTAATCGGAGGAGTATGTTGATGCAGCTAGTGAATTTGGTGTCCATGTGTTTGCTCCTCAAGGCACCATTCTGCCAGCGACTAAAACTGCCACCCTGTTTCTATCCAGTCTCCAGAGACGAAGCCTTTCACACTTTCTCTCACACTCAAGCACTGCCTGCTGCAGAGTTTTCTGTTCCGAGTCCCAAGTCTCGCCCTTCCCTGTTTCCATTACACTAGCAACCACCACAGTGTGTCCTTGGGGACATATTTGGGATCAATAGGCACATGATAACAGACCAACAAGTAAACACAACTGGGAAGAATGGAAACAGGGGAGAAGTGATGGTTTGGGTACTTGCTTTTAAGTTATCAGTTAAGCAAAGAGTCTACAAAAAAGGAAAACAAAATAAAAAACAAAACTCTTGCATTGCCTCTGACTTTTCATTTAGTTGTGACCATATGTAGTCATCTGTGCGTAAGACACGAAAGGAATCGGAAACTTTTACGCCTATGAAGAATGACTGAGCTAGTGGTGGATGACACTCCCTCCCCTCCTGTTACTGGGGGCTCTCAGTGTGTGTGTGTGTTCGCCTTTTCGCCCACTTACTGCAGGCAACACTGGGCAGGACACTATGTGGAGCGAAGCAAGGAGACAGCTGCTGGAATGGGATGCAAGTGTAGCTGACGGGTATAAAGTTTCCTTCCCAAAATCCCATCCATACCCCAACACTACTGCGTTTCCTCCCGTAGTGATTGTGCTCCGCAGTGAGAGTGAAAGTGAGAAAGTGAGTGACACGAATAGACAAAATGAAAAAAATAAAAATAAAAATACGGGTCAAACCAACAACAAAAAATGCCACGTGCACAATAGTGAAAATCAACACAAATGCACACCCAGCAGCCCAGCGCGTGAACGCAATCCCATTCCAGGGGTAACAAGGCAGCTAGCCTTAGCCAGTAAAAGCTAACCTTGAGCTGCTACTAGCTAAACCCGTCTTTAAATGTTCGCGGACGGCTAATTGGGAAGCAGAAGAAAAATGTCACACGATATATTCATTCATTTACGCGTCTTCCAAAGGGGAAAAAGGCGAAACACACGTGTTTCCTCTTGAGTGAAATTCAGAGATTTGTCCCGAGATGGTTAGCAACGCTCGCAAACAATCAAACCGGGGTGGTGTATTTACGACCCCCGTGCCGAGAGTGAATGGAGAAATGCCGGTGTAGTACCATGGAAGAAAAGCCAGCACGATTTTTCTAAAAAAAAAAAAAAAAAAAGCTATTTCCCCGGACTAGCTCGCTAAACTGTTTTGAACACGAGAAGCTGTATTTTAACTAATGGGTCAGTTAACCAGCTCTCCTTAAGTCAGCTTTTGGTTTAAAAACGGGACAAAAATATGAAAATACCATTAGCCGCTACCAGCTAGCAGACGCTTTATTTTAACTGGATAGCCGAGAAAAAGAACAATCCGTGAGGCCCAATTAAACCACCATTTACACCCAACACACTCATCCAAGCTTTATCTGGAGCACCCCCTTTTTGTTGGCGTATGTGTTGGTCAACAGACCCCCATAATTTGATCCATCCGAGCCCCGTGTAAGGGAGACCGTTATACAGTATACCGAAGGTGGAGCGGTGAGGTTCAGTCTAGCCGGGCAGGACTTACCTTGCTTGCTCTCTATTTTTCTCGACATTTTCGTAGCCAGCAGCTGTGATCCCACTCGCAGTTCAACAAAACCGTAGCTACAGACGAGCCTCGCCGTGCCTCTCCTCGGATTATTCCCTCATTTTCGATATGTTGTTGTGTCCACGAGATGATTCCGCCCCGGTTAATATAATATATTTATAGGCCACAGACATTGGTACGGTTATAAACTGCCTCCGTCCGTCTCCGGGTAATTTTCACTGGATACACACACACACTACGCTCACGTTAATGCCTTGAGCTGAGACTCGGCTAGGGTAGGCTATCATCCAGTGCAACAGCGCCCCCTTGCGTCAGGAATTAGCCACGCCATCTGTCAACAAGAGCATGGGCGTTTTTCGATTTCAGTTCAAAGTTAAAGCAAGCCCCGAATGTAATCCATACTGATTTTGCAAGTGCTGTTGCACACAGTCTCATAAATTAAGTCATGCAATTAAATAATAATAATGTGGAAATTCACCAATCATCCATTCACCCATATATCAATCTATCGCAGATGGGAAAAAATGCAGAGTAGCCTGGACAGTAGCGATTTTTTTAACCTCATCAATTTTAGCAGCAGAAGGCTAATGGAATGATTGACTGCGCAGGCTTCAAACAGCCATTTCAGCAGCTCGGTTCAAAACCAGCATCATGGCCGAAAAGACAGAACAAGTCTTAAAAACTAGTAAAAGCTCCTGAAGAAATCAAGTGTTGCACAAGAAGGTAGATCGGGGGTGTTGATCGGTGTGATCGTCAAAACAAAGCAATGGGTCTCTATATATTAGTTAATAATTAATATAAGGTTAATAATCAGTTTCAGCAAATTAAAAAGATTACATTGCCACTGATGTTTAGATTGCGAGGGATCTAAAGGTTTAAAGCTTTACTCACAGACATTTGGTTCTTTTTTCTTGTTAATATCTATGTTATGTTTGGAATAAAGCTGAAAAGCACATAACGATTAAAAGTACAATACCTGGTTAAATGAAGGAACCTATCTAAACAGACTTGCGCTAGAAAATGCATGGACACTTCGCAGCTTTTTTCTGGAAGTGTAACTGGTTTGCATTTTTTTTCTTTGCACATGTCTTTTCACTCTGCGTGTTTATACACTAGTTTGCATTTCTTCCTGTTAGAAGAGGGTTTTTCTTTTCCGCCGTCGCCAAGTGCTTGCTCACAGGGTCTCTGATTGGAGGGGTTTCTCTGTAGTACTGTAGGGTCTTTACTTTCCATATCCTCTAGTATTAAGCGGTTACAGTTAAGGTTAGTGTATTTTGGAACACATTTTTCCTCTCTAAGGCACTTTCAGGGCAGCTCTTACTCTGAAAACACAGCACAGGATGTCTTGTATTTTTGCTAGTATACTTGCCTAGAGTTCAGTGTGTTTGTGTGTGCAGTGTTTTGACCAGGAAACCAGCCTGGCAAGACCCACACATCTTGGCTGCATCTCATCCTCCAATCAATTAAGTCAAAAGATAATGGTACGGACAACAGCCAGAGTAACTCTTAATTAGATTTTTTCCCCCATAAATGTTTTATACAAGGCAAGTGTTTTCATAGCAGAGGTGATTTATGCTTCGAGTGTTTTGAATCACTACTGGCCGTTTGAACATTTAGCATATCAGCTCTAGTTTGTATATCTAAAGGAGAACCTATCATTTTTTCCACATTTGATCTCTAATCAAATGCCAGTAAATAACAGCATTCACAGAAGTTCTTTTAAATAAGCAAGAATTGTGATTTTAAAAGTGGTAGTTGAAAATTGTAATATTTCAATAATATCTATGTCTTCTGTCATAGACATTTGTTTTTTGTCGACATCTTTTGGCTCATTTGAGCTATCCTAATAAGTCCCGATGTACTAAATAGAGGACAACGTGGGCTTTCCATTGATATCTCATGTGTTTGGGGGCGTCTTTTAGCTCCAAAAGGAAGGAAATCACAAAAAAGTGGAAAGATTCACTGTTCCTCAGTTCTCGGGAGGATATATTAACGTCTGCTTTGTAATTACAGAGTAGTTTGAACCATTTACAATTTAAATGGAAGGACGCAGCCCCCTGTTGGGCACGCTAAAACCTTGCTTAGATGCATATACTACAACTACATTTTTCTTATTTTCTCCCTGTTACCATTCATGTACTGCATGTGACAGGAAAATAAAAGGCCGAGTAGAAGAAGAAAGGGGAAGCATGGCTCTAATTTGATGCTCGTTTCAACTGCTGACTATGGCTTTTGCTCACTTAGTGCTTCACATTATCCTCTCTATTAAAGTGCAACCATCTAGATTATGTCTTGAGTGTAGCAAGACGAAGCGAGCATGCCATATCAACTTTTTATGAATAATTGATCTGACTGACAGAGTGATCTACATTCCGTGAGTGATGTGGGTCAGCTCATACACTCGCAGTGCGCCCGTGAACGCAGAGGCATGCATTAAAATGCTGAGATAAGGAGTTCATTACACACTGTTGGCCGCTTCTTCTGAGCTTTGGTGCCGCTCACCTCATCAGCGGCCGATTTAATCGCTTATCAGAGAAAGGCCTTGAGTGTCAAGGATTCATATTTACACTGGCAGTCATTATGCCTGCTCCCTTGTGCTCTTGCTTGCGCAGCAGAAGCCACACCTATATAAGAAGTGCAAAGTGCTTGCTTTGTGTGTTTGTGCTAGGGAGAGGTGTGTGGGTGTGTGTGTGGAGGAGGGGAAGGAGTGGAATACGTTCCCCGAGGCTATGATAAAGTCACAGAGGGAAGACAATGATCTGCCAAGCAATGCCAGACTTGTCAGGGCAGGATAGGGCCTCACAGCGCAGTCAGAGTTGGTCTGTTTTAGAGCGTCTTGGTGTTTTCCTGACAGCCTGCATTCAGTTTCCAAGCAGCTGTCTCATCTAATGACCACGTTCAATTTGGGGCTTGAAATTTCAGCTTCACAAGGCAGCGTAAAGCCTCTCTGCCACGAGTGACAACTGATTGCTGGCTCTACTAACGAGACAAGACTTTAAAATATACACAGCAATAACTAGACGAGTCTTCTACATCTTACTGCTTTGTCACATGACTCACATTTGTCTTGTTTTCTTTAAAATCATTTTCACTTTTTTTTTATTAAATGTCACTTAAGCCTCAGCGCAGCCCTTTGCTGACATCCGTTGGCTGCGTAGTAAACCAAGCACACCGAGTCACGCCGCTTTATGCCACAGAGTGGTGCTCTTGGTCCACCGATCATTCTTCTATGCTGGAGCTCAGCCTCACGACCCCGTGGTGGTACACTTCTAGTAATGTGCTGTACATGCGGGTAAATGTCACAGAATATGGTAATACAATGATAAAGCTCTTTGATGAGCTTCACTGAGGGCAGGAATAAAAAAAATCTTTATGATCATCTTAATAAGTCACCAAATAGTTAAAAAAAAAATATTAATTCCACTGTTTAAAGTTATAACTATTCCCCTTAATGAAGACAAATGTTTGGAAATAGCAAGCAGGTTAATCCATCACCACGCTCAGATATTCAGGGTCGATACCTCTGATGAATGTGGGAAGCTTTATACTGGTTCACACTGGGAAATTTCCACTCTGGGCTTGCACCAAGATCAGGTCAGCTGTGCGCTGGATGCAGTTCACCGTTAGACGGGGCAAAGAAAGGAGAAGCAGGAGAGTTTTGTTAGCTGAGAGTTGTCAGCGAGAGCTTTGAGATGGGGTTTGATCTTCGCGGTGGTGCAGTGCTCAAACACAGTTTAAGACTTGGTTAACCTTGGCCAGCGGTCGCACCGTTCTGTCTGTCTCGCATCTGAGAGTTGGAGAAAGAAGGAGGGGATCAGCAAGGCTTATATGAGTGAAATGCATTTTAATTCAGAGGGAGCGGGGTGAAGGCCTACCTTGACAACAATCAGGGTCCTCTGTCTTTGGACCTCTGTTAACGTACAGTGATTTTCAAGAGAGGTTTTCATGATAGGATTAAGACGGTGGGCCGGGGGTGGGAGGTGGAGAAGATGGAGAAGCGTCGAACAAAGAGGACAAGGTGTCTGGGTCATAACCCACTCAATACTGCATGAGAATAGAACAATCTGTCACTGACAAACACACTGAGAGATGTCGACAAGGTTAGGAGAAATCAGATGGTGACGAGAGGGGGTCATCAACAGTTGTCATGGTAAAACAAACAGTGCTGCATTAAATCTTTGCACTAAAACTGCATATTCAGACTAAAAATTGAGATTTGCTTCCCACAGTATGTAACGCACACATATACAGTAACTGTTGCAAACATTTGTGGATGCAGCCACGCTATAAACACATAGAAATTATTTATGTGCTGAGGCAGGCATTGTCAAACTGCTCTTTAGAGCTCCACGGGACAGCGGGCCTGGCTCTTAGAAAGCCCAGCTGCTCGCCTTTCAAGATCACTCCGTCCTGTCACTATGGCAGAGAAGGTCTTACCGTCTAAACTCACCCCCTCCTCTCCCTATTTTCCGTGGCACTTTTAAATAGAGGGGTCGACCTATCTTCGAGGTGGGACCCTCCCTCGCCCTCTGTGCTCTGTCCAGTGCTCCTGATTGACATTTCAAGTCCGACGGTAGGGTAAAGAGGGCCAAAGAGCATGAAATGAGAACGGCCGTGGGGGTGCACACCGAGACTTGACCACTCCCTTTCTCACCCCCCCCCCGTCGCCCACCTCCATTAGTCGCTGAAGTCCCCTGTGGGAACTGCAGGCGGCCCTCAGCCTGAGAGGTGAGCTCACAGTTCCTTAGTGTGAAAGCACAAAGAGGTCGGATGAGATGTAACGATGCAGAGAACAATTACGGTTCTTCAGATGATCATCTTTGCAGTGAGGCTCAGCCTTCTTTACTTCTTATGCTTTCTCCTTTAGAAGGCTAAATGTCAGCATTTATCCTTCCCTTTATTTTGCTCAGCAGGTCAGAGGCATTTCAGGGATCTTTGAGGATATTGCAAGCATTTATTTTTTACTTTTTTCCCCCTGCAAATCTTATCTAATAAGATCTATCATACTTGTGTGTACCCTGTAAACGTACCGTGTGGTTTTGTAACATTCCAGTTTCACCACGCACCCATTTTTGTGCGTTTTAAGTTGAAAATCTGCCATTTGAGCGGCCGCCTCTTCACACAAGCCATCACGCCATTTCCATGCTTAATACTGGTCAACCTTACACTGGCAAGTGTTATCAGTGGATATTAGCAGTTGAGGGGGATGCGTCAATGTCTACTCCTGCTGGTTTGGCCTAGTTTTCACAGTAGCAGTTAT